CCCCAAAACCCCAAAACCCCAAAACCCCTCAAGTAAATAATAGAATAATTTTAGTGATGAATTAAACTAGAATTAAAAATGAAAAACTTTGCATAATTTTCAATCATTAAGCAATAAAAATAAACCTTAGCTATAGCACTCTTCACCTTTATTACACTTACTGAATTGAGCTAAGAACAATGCATCAAAGCTAATTGCATTTCAAAGGTTCAAACTACTTCATCTTTATGCTTGAGACAAACAGATGGAACAGCAATAACAGGGGGTAATGTCCAATTTGTAGGTGATTAATGTGATTCGACGAACAGATACTACTGCGATCCATCTATCGATTAAAATACTTAGAAATACACTGGCTAATGCACTAAAAACAATTCACAATTCGAATACCTTCCAACATATATTCAATTTCCAGGTAGGTTAATATACTTAATACTTACGAATTTTAGGTGAATTATGTGATGAGAGAAGAGCATTATTCGAATGCGGATTTGGATATCGTAAATGCATGGCGAAGAGATGCTATGGCTATCTTCAAGGGGAGAACTGTATCAATTCTGCTGATTGTAATCCTCACTTGTATTGTGATTAGAGCAGTAAGACCTGCAAGTATGCTTTATAATCTGAGGGATTGTGCACTTCAAGTGACTAATGCGATATGGGTTAAGTTTGCAAATTTGATAGTAACTTAGCTGCTTAAGGAAGATGCAAGAAATATTTCTCACTTGCAACTGGAACTCGTAATTAAATCATTTGCTTATTATCAATTTTATTATAGCTGTGTATGCTAAGGTGCCACATGATCTTTTTGTTTGCCAAGAGGGCTTTGGAGCTCTTGATAGTAATTAGAAATATTTTTAGCTAAATCTATAATTAGTTCCTGTCCTTGGAGTAATAGATGTGAGAACATTCTAACCTGGTCTTTACAGATGTGGAAAGGAAATCAACAGTATTAATGCTGGAAAGAACTGCACTACATATAGTGACTGTCCCTCAAATGTCTAGGGTGTATTTGCTTAATGTGGTTGCACTTACTCTGGGACCAACAAAAAATGTGATATTCTTCACTCGAATTTCGAATATTAACAATTCTTGGATGCTGTAATTTGCTTTGTTTTAAATCTGTTAATTAGACAAAGGAATTCTAGTATGCTACAATTTAATGTCATAATGCCAGAATTCTAGAGAGTGGGCCATGCGATGAATTAGATCTATACAGAAATATGTAACTAATAAAATATATATTAAAAATCTTGTAGGATGTGTAAAAAGATGAAGGCATTCTACTATTTGCCAAATTACGACGCAGACTAGTGCCTCTTAACACACTCAAACTAGTACCTTTTCTCAGAGATAGATGAAACCTAACTTTGGTGTGATCCAGACAGGTATAGTGTTTTACTTGGATTAGATACTGCAATGGGAAGAGTGATTTTAAATTTAGCAGTAATGATTGGAGCTATGTCAGTATATTCACTCTTATGATAAAAAGAAGGAGATATTTTGATTTATTTATAGGTGGAAGTTAAAAATAGTCTTAATATAAACTACCTCTGTAATTTAACTCTAAAAAAGTAATCCTTAATAATCATTATTGATAATATGTAATTTATAACATGCCAATAAAATTCTTAATTTTAAATATAAAACAAATCTAACATAATTATTCATTTGGCCTTTTTGTTTTTGGCAGCTCTCTCTTCTTCTTCCTTAAGATCTTCCTCGGAATCTTCTAAGCACTTTGTAATAACACCAGCAGCAACAGTCTTACCACCCTCTCTAAGAGCAAATCTAAGCATATCTTAGAGTGGGAGTGGGTAATTAAGCTTCATGGTGCAAGTGAAGTTATCACCTGGGAGAGCCATTTGCATTCCTTCGGGTAGAGTTACATCGACTGCTACATCAGCAGTTCTTAAGAAGCATTATGGTCTATATCCAGTGAAGAATGGCTTTGATCTTCCACCCTCGTCTGGCTTCAAGATATATAATTGTGCTTGAAAGTTTCTTCTGACATCCATTGAGCCTGGCTTGGAAAGACACATACCTCTTTTAACTTGCTCCTTTGTCACACCTCTTAATAGGACTCCAACATTATCTCCTGACTCACCAAAGTCCAATTGTTTATTGAAGGTTTCAATACCTGTAATAGTGGTTTGCTATGGCTTTCTCCTAATACCAATCATTTCGACGTTATCATTGATTTTGCATCTACCATGCTCGATAGTTCCAGTAACTACAGTACCTCTACCTGGGATGTTAACGCTGCTATCAATTGACATAAGGAATGGTTTGTCCATTTCTCTTTCTGGAATATCGATATTATTGTCTAATGCTTCAATAAGTTACTCCATAGCTTTTTCTCCTAGTTCTGGGTCAGTTCCGTTCAATGCACAGAGAGCACTTCCCTTGATAATTGGAGTAGTATCACCATTGTATTAATAGCTGTTGAGAAGTTCTCTGATTTCCAACTCTACGAGCTCGTGCATTTCTGGATCAGTAACGACATCACATTTATTGAGGAATACAATAATATTCTTAACACCGACTTGTCTGCACAATAGAATGTGTTCTCTAGTTTGAGGCATGGCGCCATCAGCTGCTGAAACGACCAATATACCACCATCCATTCTAGCTGCACCAGTAATCATATTCTTAACGTAATCTGCGTGACCTGGGCAATCTACATGACCATAATGTCTATTTTATGACTCATATTCGATAGTTGTAGCGTTAATTGTAATACCTCTAGCTTTTTCTTCTGGTGCCTTATCGATATCATGATAATCCTTGAATTCGGCACTACCTAATTGAAAATTTCAGCAATAACTTTAATTACCTTTGGTTGCAAGATATTTAGTAATGGCTGCTGTCAAAGTGGTTTTACCGTGATCGATGTGGCCTATTTTATTATTATTAAATATAAATAAAAGTGGTAAAGTGAAGGGTGTGTTACCTATTGTTCCCACATTGAGATGAGGCTTGCTTCTATCGAACTTTGCAAAGGATGCAGATGGATACATTCCCATAAACATGCTCTATCTTAACATGCTCTTTCCTAGTTAACTACTCTTTTCACTCACTCTGCTTTTCAATACGTTCAACCACATTTGTTAATTCTTAAATTATATCTTTATTACTATAAAATTTGTGTCCCTTAATAATTTTATAAATTTTCCATTTCACAATAATGATGGAATCAAGGGGTTTTGGGGTTTTGGGGTTTTGGGG